ACCAATTAGCCATCACCAGCCGTAACGTTATGCAAATCTGTGATTCCCAAGCCATAGTCTTATGCAAATCATGCCGTGTGGCGTAATTGTCTGCTGACCAATCAGTGGCTGTACTTTCAAAAAGCCAACGGCCACTTTCAACCATCTGTCGATGACCGTTACGAATAAAAAAAAAAAAAAACTTCGCTAGGTCTTACTTTCAGGGGGAGGTCTTATATTTCGCAATTCAGCAAAATCTGTGCTAGGTCTTATTTTCTGCGGAAGTCTTATTTTCGGTGGAAACACGGTATCGGCAATATCGATGAATTTATCACTTCTGCACTATGAATCAACATCTTATGTATCGAAGTTGGCATGCAGTACCACGGATATAAGTGCACAAAGTAACGAGCTGTCTGTAAGGCATAATCTTGAAATTCTATGAAATCGATTTCATAGAATTTCACGAAATTGTCTGCAATATGACATGGAAACGCTTAATCAAGTCCTCATCAATCTCTGTAATAGCAGAAGAAATGCTTGAGTTTTCGAAAAATCGTCGAGGCTTTGGTTGATCGACTATTGAACCCAATTCTATACGGAAACCCTTCTGTATATTCGTTTTTCAGAGTCTTATTTTATTTTCTTTATCACTATGCGCTTGCAACAGTTTGATTTTGAGCTTATATGCTACATGCAAACAACATTCAAAACACACAGACAAATTCAAGAAAAAGAGCAAAACATTCCTCGTCGTTAATGTACAAAATTCAGAAAAGTATGTTTTACATTGCAAGAACTCGCACCAATGACACAATTGTAGCTAGTTGCAGCTAGTTTTAATTTTTTAAATTCAATAATAGTTCCATCTACAACATGCGATCGGTCCAGTTCCAGAACTCTACAGAATTTATGAACTTTTCTCTACATGTTTAAAATTTTCTGTTGTAATCTTCCGTTCATTTTCGTACAAATCATTCGTTTATTGTTATCACATAAAGTATTATTATCAATTTTGTGTTACATAATGATATTCTACTTACTTGCAGCTGCAGATTCCATTTTTTAAATTTTAATTCGATTGATTTTTAGAGATTTGACACCCTCTTGAATATAGCGTAGAAATCTTTGCTTACTGCATGACGCCTCTAGCTCGATTGAGGGTCCCCTTTCGACTGAACTACAATAGCAGGTATAAGGGATAGGGAGCGCTAAAGTCTAGAATTCGACCTTCGGACTCTTATCCAACCTAACCCACGACTAGAAATTACCGGAACTTAAATTCTATTTTTCGACTTTTGGCCAGCTTTTTGGGATTTGGCCCCACTGTGCACCCGGTGCAGTAGGCTGTTTCCTCATCCACTCGACTATCCGGCGGTTGGCACCGGCACATTATGTTACAGAAAACCCTCACTCAACGTATTTGAACGTCATTGTATTTGATTAACGCAATTTTGATATACGCGCTAGCATGGAATAACTAAATTAACTGCGTTAATCAAGCGATACCTGTACTGTGTACATATATACAGTGGAACCGCGCTTAACGAGAATAATTCGTTCCAGAATCTTACTCGTAATACGAAACACTCGTTAAGTGAAATGGTTTTTCTATATAAATTAATGTAAAATCAGATAATGCGTTCCATGCCGAAAAAATACTCAAATATTTTATGTATAACGTTTATTCAAAGAAAATTACACAATATACATTGTTAAGGAGCGTAAACCATCTTCATTTTTTTTAGTGCGGAATAAACCAACCTGAAATGCGAATTCGATATGCAGAAAACAAAAAATAAATCACAGATAATGTCTGACAAACACACCAAACGATATGCCAAATTCTTGTGCTATGTTAAAGGCTATAATTAAATATTAGAAATTAAATAATTTGACTAGAGGTAGGCAGTTATGCTGCCATCTCGTATTAAATTTAATGACCAATTCCAAATTAAATTTTAAAAACGTGTAAATTAAAAATTAATTATTTATAATTATTAAATTTAATACGAGATGGCAGCATAACTGCCTATCTCTAGTCAAATTATTTAATTTCTAATATTTAATTATAGCCTTTAACATAGCACAAGAATTTGGCATATCGTTTGGTGTGTTTGTCAGACATTATCTGTGATTTATTTTTTGTTTTCTGCATATCGAATTCGCATTTCAGGTTGGTTTATTCCGCACTAAAAAAATGAAGATGGTTTACGCTCCTTAACAATGTATATTGTGTAATTTTCTTTGAATAAACGTTATACATAAAATATTTGAGTATTTTTTCGGCATGGAACGCATTATCTGATTTTACATTAATTTATATAGAAAAACCATTTCACTTAACGAGTGTTTCATATTACGAGTAAGATTCTGGAACGAATTATTCTCGTTAAGCGCGGTTCCACTGTATATATGTACACAGTACAGGTATCGCTTGATTAACGCAGTTAATTTAGTTATTCCATGCTAGCGCGTATATCAAAATTGCGTTAATCAAATACAATGACGTTCAAATACGTTGAGTGAGGGTTTTCTGTAACATAATGTGCCGGTGCCAACCGCCGGATAGTCGAGTGGATGAGGAAACAGCCTACTGCACCGGGTGCACAGTGGGGCCAAATCCCAAAAAGCTGGCCAAAAGTCGAAAAATAGAATTTAAGTTCCGGTAATTTCTAGTCGTGGGTTAGGTTGGATAAGAGTCCGAAGGTCGAATTCTAGACTTTAGCGCTCCCTATCCCTTATACCTGCTATTGTAGTTCAGTCGAAAGGGGACCCTCAATCGAGCTAGAGGCGTCATGCAGTAAGCAAAGATTTCTACGCTATATTCAAGAGGGTGTCAAATCTCTAAAAATCAATCGAATTAAAATTTAAAAAATGGAATCTGCAGCTGCAAGTAAGTAGAATATCATTATGTAACACAAAATTGATAATAATACTTTATGTGATAACAATAAACGAATGATTTGTACGAAAATGAACGGAAGATTACAACAGAAAATTTTAAACATGTAGAGAAAAGTTCATAAATTCTGTAGAGTTCTGGAACTGGACCGATCGCATGTTGTAGATGGAACTATTATTGAATTTAAAAAATTAAAACTAGCTGCAACTAGCTACAATTGTGTCATTGGTGCGAGTTCTTGCAATGTAAAACATACTTTTCTGAATTTTGTACATTAACGACGAGGAATGTTTTGCTCTTTTTCTTGAATTTGTCTGTGTGTTTTGAATGTTGTTTGCATGTAGCATATAAGCTCAAAATCAAACTGTTGCAAGCGCATAGTGATAAAGAAAATAAAATAAGACTCTGAAAAACGAATATACAGAAGGGTTTCCGTATAGAATTGGGTTCAATAGTCGATCAACCAAAGCCTCGACGATTTTTCGAAAACTCAAGCATTTCTTCTGCTATTACAGAGATTGATGAGGACTTGATTAAGCGTTTCCATGTCATATTGCAGACAATTTCGTGAAATTCTNTAACGTGTTTATTATATAACTAGCTATGATTGTCGATATATAAAAGTAATATGTGTGAACACAAGGGTTCGGATCTAATGAAGCCCAGACAATTGCCATAAATCGATTTGCAAATTCACATGTAAATAAACCGAAATTTTAAGTATATAGCGAATAATATAAATATAGTAACATGCACAGCTTCTCCAAGTTGGTCCAGTGCTAAATACTTTGTATTATAAATAAAATTATTGGGTCTTGGAAAGCCGGATCGAAATTTTGCATAGGGCCTGAAATTCCCTTGACTGTGTTACAAAACCATTCGATTAAGATTTACCAATATTTGGATATTTAAAGAATTTCGAGAAGAAATATGAAATAAAATCTGCGTTAAAATTGCAATTTCTATTGAATTTTATTCTCCCTACCTTTTAAATATATTTCACTAACATAGATATAATTAGTTCGAACATGATTTCCACCAGTGACTGAATGGATAATTGGTCGATGGTTCGCGCCCACCAAAAGGCTGGCCATGAGGAATTTTCCGGGTTGTTTCACGTGTCTGACAACTAAACAGGAACTAATTTTTCATAGAAAATGTCCGAAAGAAATCTCACTGACAGATCGCCTGTGTGTTGCGTTGCCGTACTTCATAAAATTAAATTTAAAATGTGTAAATAAAGTAATACTAAAATTAAAAGTTATTTTAAACTTTATAAATCTTTATTTTTGTAAATAAGTTTCTTTCACTTTATATAATAACATACGTTTCTAGTGCCTTTTTAGTGCGAATAAACAACAAATAAAAATAAAAGCACTGCACTTTTTTGTTTTATTGGACCATCCCTTTATGAATATGAATAACATGATAATTTTTTAATGGATATATATATTAAAATATTTATATATTTTAATCTTCATATAATGGGTTAATGATAAAATTACATGAAATATAAAACTTTTTACATAAAAATATATTCAATTTAACATATTACAAACGTATTTCCATAACTGAAGACATATAATAATGAATATTCCAAAAGCTAGGACATAAGAGAAAACTTCAATATAAAATAACCTGAAAGTAAAACATTTGTTTCAGTATCATGTACTGTAAGTATTATGAGTGATTATACAGGATTACCAATTAAACATCTAGCCATGGGCAAGAGAAATCTTTCCACAATTGGTTAGATAGGTAGCGAATAAATACGCTGAACATTAAGCCACCATGACATAATGTCTGCACGATCTTGTGTCCAACATGCAAGAGCATGCAGAGAATGCCGCATAGAGATTTGGTGCTGCAACATGATGTTAAATTTTAGAACATGACGAACAAAAAATCCTTTAGCATATTTTATGGGCCGACGAGGCATAATTTTCCCAGAATAGAGTGTATACAGTTGCAATGCGCACGATCGAGCAGAGCGTGCTCGAAGATGCGCGTGATATATGCCCCACTGAGAGCGTTTTACTCTAAACGTCTTGAGCCGAATTTGAAGTGAGCAGCTTCTTGATCCCGTATTCATCGATGACACTCCAAATAGTGATCGATATCTGAGCATCCTAAACAGAACGATGGACAAATAACTCGTTGACTTGTTATTGGCGCAACTACAGGTTCAGTACCAGTACAATGGCGCGCCATCTCATTGTAGACAGGCATGCGTCGGTGGTGCAAAGAAGTTTGGCAACCACAAAGAACAATACAGTATATGGTGGCAAGTTCCATGGCCACTACGTTCCATAGACTTGACTTCTTTTGAATTTTTTCCCGTGGTGTACAATGCACACTCAGCAGAGCCGCGTGATGTTGTTGAGCTAGAGGTCGCATTCGACAGGCCTATGAAATGTTGATACCAGAAATGCTATGTGATATGCATAATGCCACGCTTGAACAATCGACATCTTTGTAATGACGCTGAAGATGGTCGTTTTGACTATGTTCTCTAATAAGTTAGAGCTCACTATTTTATTTCAATTTGTGCAATGTTGTCTTTACATTTTACAATCGGAGATTTTATTCGCTTCGGTTATTTTAACACAGGAACTCCGTATGCATACGCAATTCTCGTAATGCTGGAAAAATCTCTTTTGCCCTTTGATAAATGTTTTAGCAGACACACCGTATAAAAAATAATGTGCATTTTTATAGTTAATAATAAAAAATACTTATGCTAATATGAACTACAGGTAGACCAAAAGTCAGTTAACTGAAATATATTTTTAACATTACTTTAAGTACAGTTAAATCTGGTTGGAAGCCCAGAATCACGAATCACATGGGATCTTTTACCAAATCTGTTTTAACGACTCTTAGTTAACTTACTTTTGAACCGTCCTGTATTTAAATTTCAAAAAATTATATTTCATACTTTAATTGTATTTATAAATTGTAAGATTTATCTTACTTTTTTGCACGATTTCTCGCCAATGGAATAGTAGAAGGACTTTCATTTAATAAATTAGTCTTTATATTTAAAACAATTTTTTCCAAATATTTAGAATAATCTATTTTTCTCACATCGAAATCGAAAATCTGAAAATTGAAAAAGAAAAAAAGAAAAAAAAAATTTAAATTAATAATAAATTTTAAATATAATCATAAAAGCTTCACTATTTTTTTTTTAAATAATTTTATGAAAATAATTTATTATTTTAATAATTAACAACGTTATTGCAACTAAAAATGTATTAATTTTATGAATATTTAATTTCAAACTTAAGGCAGATTTATACTTCGTGAGAATGCAAAAGAAAACAAAAAAAGGCTATATTAGTTTAATGCGAAACATTTTGCGCACTTATCATGGCGTTTTCCGTTTTTCCCTTTGGTTTGTGAAAAAATGAAGATCGTTTCTTCTTTTTCTTGCCATAAAATTCTGCATTGTTTATCAAGGAGATTGATAAGACGGCCAGATGTTTGAGACAGTTAAGTATCAGCATACCTGTTTGGAATCCCGGAATGGAATCCATAAACTTTTCGGGAGGACGGATCATCCTCCCGAATACGTTGAGCCCAGATCACCTGGCCCTCATTGTGCGCCTGGCCGAGCCCTTAATGAGTATGATTAAAAAAACTTGGATAATATATTATCCAAAATACATGGATAAAACGTAAATTTTAGATAATAAATTACCTGAAAGAATTCAAAATTTGATTTAATAATTTTACTTTAAAACTTACATAAAATATCGAAAATGTACTTGGGATTTTTTTCTGTATTATATTTCATTCTCCTTCTTCTGAAACTTATTAAGAACTTATTACATAAAATTCAGTTGTTACATTTTGAACAAGAGTGCCACAAGCTCTTGTACGTTTCCCTTTTGTTCTTTCGAAGATAGAACACTTATAAGAAGAGAATAATAGAAAACAGATAAAATCTCTTCTATTTTCCATTCTCACGAAGTATAACTGACTTTTAAGCTATACTTAAGAGTGAAATTGAATTAATAAATAAATTTACAAATAGTAAAAATACAAACTTTACTTCTTTTTCTTCTTCAGACATGGAATCTAAGAGTTTAATGGAATTATCTGCATGAAATGTCCAAATATTTGACAGGAAAAATTGCGAATCAATTATTCGAATCCACAATTTCTTGTAAATGAATTGCATTCTAAAAGAATAGTTAAATATATAAATTATATTAATTAATTTCGTTAATCAAAAATAATTCAAATTATATGATTTAAGCNGATAATAATTAAAAATGTAGAAAGTTTTAAAATAAAATATGATAACAGATGGCGCTACATGCAATTTTAATTGTTGCTGGAAAAGTTAAGCAACTCGTTGCTGGATTTTTTTAAAAAATAATAGCAATAACATTCATTTCCTGGGGTCTATCCATATAATTTGCCAAACATTTCATATAATCTGAATAGGCCTATATATGTATTTCCAGTCAGACATGATATGATATTTATATATTTGTGGTAATTTCCTTGCCATGGCATTTAAAAAATACAGTACTTATTTTTTCACAATATAAAAAGAAAAGATAAATACTATATATAAAACATGGTATATATTAGGTTATATATTAGAGAGGTTGCGGCTGAAGTTTTCGTGGAACGTTTGAGAGATGAAAACGACCGCAACCTCGCTATTATTTATTTCTTTTTATACTTTATTAGTGTATATCTACCAGAATTATTTTAATAAAAAATAATATCTATAATATACTTTTTATCATACACAATATAGATATAGCATTATAAAGTATTATAATGGACGATCATACACTAAATATATGCATGTAGGAAAGTAAAAAAGAGAAGATGTATTGAGGAAGTAGAAATAGATATACAGAGAAAAACTGAGAAATGAAGATTGATTTAGACAGAAGAAAATGACTATTAAGAACTGGAACATGATTTCATATTGTATAACCAAGAAAAGAAATGATGAAGTATTATAAAATATATTACATATATACTAATTAATAATTAAGATGATTCAAAAACCAGGCCCAGTTTTAAAAATTTATTTTCCAGTAAACTGACCGTAAATAGATGCGTTTTCCACATAAATATTATACTGTATTCAGAATGGTATGAAACATTTTCAAGTAAAATCTATAATGACAATTTTAGTTTACAACTTATGCCAATGGATGACGCTGCATATTCCGTTGTAATCGATAGTTATACTGCTCTAGCGCTATGCTCTCAAGTACTGTACAGTTAGTGTGTCAGGTTGTCGCTAGCTGGCACTACAGAGAGAAGTTGGTTTATCTGTTTGATTAGTAGGTATTTTTACCGTTTTCAAGCATTTTTGTAACTTTTTCCACTGTTCTGTCAAATATTGATAAATCGTATTCGTAATTACATTTTTAAAATTTTATAATTTGTATGTTTATTTGTATGTTTAGATGACTTAAAAACAAATTTTTGATATATTATTAATTTTAATAATTGAAATAGTGACTTACTTTGCCTTCTTCCCGAAAACGGTGAAAAAGATATCGAGAACGATAGCAGGAATTAAATGAAACAGAATATCAAATACCGGATATAATATTTTATTTTTGACTATAATCATCGATGGATATCGATAGCAATTCAGAAATGGATATTTTTTTTGTATTTTGACCAAATTCAGAAACTCACCATCTTCTCTTTCGGTGTTTCCTGAGGTACAGTTGTAAACTGTAATATCACCCTTTCTGAAAAGAGAAAAAGTTTTTAGTAGAATTGAATAAGAAACTATTTAATTTAACAAACCATTCTTATAAATTAATTAGATTTGTTTACTATAATTGATTTCAAAATATACGTGAATAAAAAAGAACATCCCGGCAACGAATTGCGGAACTTTCCGGGCTGTTATAAAATTTTATTTAAAAAATAACTTTTATATTATTAATCATATTTTTTACTAAANAAGAGTTTAATGGAATTATCTGCATGAAATGTCCAAATATTTGACAGGAAAAATTGCGAATCAATTATTCGAATCCACAATTTCTTGTAAATGAATTGCATTCTAAAAGAATGGTTATATAGTTAAATATATAAATTATATTAATTTCGTCAATTAAAAATAATTCAAATTATACGATTTAAGCATATATTTTCATACATATTCAACATAGTTTATTTTATTAATTGGCTTTATAATGTTATATACATCACTTATCTTCATTCTGGTACGAATGGAGATAAGTGGATTTCTTTAATGTGATTCAAAGGCCTGGTGTCGATTAAATTTAAGCAGAATACGGTTTAAAAGACGTTAATGTAAACAAATATATCAATCACTACATAATACAATACATTACCGATTAAATTTTGTGTTGCTAAATCATATAGTACATTAATAATTCAAGGACATATCATACAGGAACGCATTCCATTTAGGTGGAACTTATACAGTACTTGAAATTTATATTAAAAGTTGCACTTTTAATGTAAATTTTTACTGTTTTATAACTTTATATTCTTTTAACTATTTTTATAATTAATTTGATAAAACTTATATGTTAAAAAGTTTTTAAAATAAGAACCAGCATCACCTTTTTGTAGAGTCTAGAATGGACTATCTGAAAGATTTGATTTGCCCATCTCAATGAAATGCATTCCTGTATGACAAGTTCTTGAATTATCAATGTATTATATAATTTAGAAACAACGTTTATAAAATAGAAAGCTTCAACTAGATTATACAATTAAATTTTATTTTATTTAATTCTTTAAAATTAATCAGAGGCAGAGATTTTAATGAGTTCTCTTACAAAGGTATGATCTCTTCAAAATTTTGCAAAGTTATTATAAAATCAATCATCATCCCGACTAGATATTAACTTTGTTTTTAAAATTTTAAATACAATAAAATATGTTTAATTAAGATTTGTATGTTTATTTGTATGTTTAGATGACTTAAAAACAAATTTTTGATATATTATTAATTTTAATAATTGAAATAGTGACTTACTTTGCCTTCTTCCCGAAAACGGTGAAAAAGATATCGAGAACGATAGCAGGAATTAAATGAAACAGAATATCAAATACCGGATATAATATTTTATTTTTGACTATAATCATCGATGGATATCGATAGCAATTCAGAAATGGATATTTTTTTTGTATTTTGACCAAATTCAGAAACTCACCATCTTCTCTTTCGGTGTTTCCTGAGGTACAGTTGTAAACTGTAATATCACCCTTTCTGAAAAGAGAAAAAGTTTTTAGTAGAATTGAATAAGAAACTATTTAATTTAACAAACCATTCTTATAAATTAATTAGATTTGTTTACTATAATTGATTTCAAAATATACGTGAATAAAAAAGAACATCCCGGCAACGAATTGCGGAACTTTCCGGGCTGTTATAAAATTTTATTTAAAAAATAACTTTTATATTATTAATCATATTTTTTACTAAATAAATGAATTGTGTGTGGCGCCATCACTTATGAGATTTTATCATAAACTTTTTTTTTATATTATTAATTACAGGTAACCCCCGTATAACACGGCACTTCTATAGCACGGATTCGCTCTAACACGGTTCGAGAATTAGTACCATCCCCCGTATAACACGGTACTTTTATAGCACGGATTCACTCTGACACGGTTCGAGAATTGGGTAAAACCCTCGTACAACAGGAAATGTAATAAATTTTTACATATTTAAGTAATAATAGTTCACGAAAATTATTATTTTCGTGAATTAGTATTACTTAAGTATGTAAATTTTTTCTTCTCGCCTTCTGTCGATACACGTGGTCCTTCTCGAAACTTGTTTCAATGTTGCCAGATCGCGACGCTTCTGCTTCTGATGTTGCCGAATGTTTTTCCCTTATTC